ATGGAAGAAGTACTTTGCCCCTATGTAGCTAACTGTATAATTTGATTTGTATGGATCGGGGTTTTAACACCTGCGAAGGCAAGGGAGGAAAAGGCTCTGGGTGATGCTTTCTGACCAAGGTATTCCAAAAAGTAGCTTCCCCAGGGCTCGTGCCTTACCGCGTGAGCTCTGGCTCAGCAAAACCCAGTGGCGCTGTTGTAACGGGACCTCATGTACACCGCGGGCTGCAGGATGGGGACGCGGAGAATGATCCTGCTGCAGCACCTGGTCTGGTGTCCCCAACGCCAGGCAGCAGAGTCGGCCCTGCCGCTCCGGCCCTGCCACCAGCTCCCAACTACAGGAGTAGCTACAGCAATCAGGGGTCTGCAGCACACCCAAGGCTAACTCTCGCTAGCTCTGCTTCCCTGCCCCGCATCTCCTTGAACACACTATCTGCTTCCAAAGTTAACAAACAGGACAAACACCAGTTTGCTAAGTTTTGAAGCAAACAGTTCTTCTCACTCGAAAATCACTTGCTAAAGAGCTGTTTCTGGCTTTCTCACTGTTTTTAGGAGAAGTTGCGGTCTTCCTTCTGCTTCTCCTGAACTTTGCCCATTCGTGCCGCCACTCTCTTTTGTCTTCTCTTTGAATAAAAATAAACAAAGTGTTGCCTGAGATGGGATTTGTTGACTCACAGGAGGACAGTTAGCCGAGAAAGAATTATAAAAAGTACGCCTTTCAATTTACAGTGTTTTACCTGAATTCAGCGCTGGCTCAGAAAGCTTCTGAGAGCAGATGCGAATCCTCATGTGGCTCAACGCAACCTCAGGCCACTTTGGTACTGTTTTCCCTCGAGGTTCCTGCAGTTGACCATGATAAGTGTGTTTGCTTGTCTTTGGAAATGAAGCATCTTTTCTTTGCCAGACAGGTTTTTCTCAGCTTTCACAGCTCTAATTTTAATCTAACCGGAACATTTTCGCTTAAAGCTTTGGGCAGAAAATTCTGGCTTCATCAATTAATTTTTATAGCGTAGTTATTCCAGCTATACCAACTTTTCTCTCTTCATTTTTGTTCCCTCCAATTAGAGTACTTTTAAACTGAAAATGAACTTGTGCTAAGACAATGTTAGGAATTATGTTACAAGAAAAGTGAACTGATCTTGATGGTCATATGTACTTAGGTTGGTTCTTTTTCCCCATGCTTACCCCATAGTAAAAATATACTGTACACCATACCTTACTGTATGGAAATTTTAATATTTGTAGAAGATATATGTGCTCAGTGAGCCACAGTCCTATATAGTCTTGTTAGCTTTAGTTAAAATTTTTGCTGTTGTCAGTGCCTGACAGCGTATAATACTCTGTTACTCAATGAATTTATACAAAAATTGGGTCATCTGTATTGCAGACAAAACCACAGTGATATCTGGGCTAAAAAGCCACTTAAGAGTATAACAAAAAACTGCTTAAGCCTAGGTAGTCTTCCAAAACGGAGGTTTACCAGCAAGGGTAGAACCTTATGCACAGTTAGCCCCTGGGAGTGCTTTGGACTGAGAACAGAGCACAGCATCTGCACCTATTGATCAATTGGCACAGTGAGGACCAATTGACTTTGGTGAAGATAACTGCTCCAGAGAAAAAAGTCAAAAGGGAGGAAGGCCAAAGTGGGTTAGCATAGTCGGAAACCTTGAGAACATGCTGTTTCTGGTTCATGTTGAGGTATTCAAGCTACCTGTAGAGAAGGACTATTTGGTGTATCTCTTGGACACATCAAGATTCAAGCAGAAATCTCACAGACCCAGATTGAGTACGCTTCAGACATTTTCATGGCTTTACCTCGTCAAGCCTGTAAGTGGGGAGTGGAGTGGTGGCTTGAGGTGAAACACAGTGAGAAATGTACCTAAGTCATTTTTGGCTCATTTCAGGTTTCTGAGGGGGTGGAGAGGCTTCAGAGACTGTCTCTTGGCTGGCCTGTCCTTCCCTGTGCAGAGAGGGGCATGGCTCCTCTTCAACTTCCCAGTCCTGGGCGGCCAGAGGAGTTACTACTTACTGGTGGGGTAACACTGCACTGGGGGGAACTGCTAGGGGAGGAACCTGCCCTTAAAGAGATTTTGAAGAATGAGCTGGATAAACACCCTTCAGAAACAATTTAAATGTTGTTGGCTCTGCCTTGAGGCTGCAGGACTTCTCACCCTGTCTTCTGTGGACATCGAAGCACAAACTGTGGCACTTTGCCATAGGAGTGCCTCCATATCCGTTTTCTGGCAGGTTTGGGGATAGAGGAACAATTTTATCACTGGTTTTATCACCTTCCTTGAAGATCTCTGAAGGCCTCACATGCTGAGATTTAATGAGAGATCTGTGAAACTACAAGCTCGTCTTTGGACATCTCTTTAAAGACGCTCCCATCTATGCATTTCAATTAGATGTGAAGAGGTTTATGGTAGCCATCCTTGCCTGTGGTGTTTGCAAGTGACGGCATCAGGGACAGCAGAGGTGTAAAGTCAGTGTTTGCCATGTATTCCTCTCTGTAGCGTACAAACAACCTCTTTCACACATCTCCCATTTCCAGGTGCCCCATAAGCCAGTAGATTGCTGCTGCCAAAAGCGATTCGTGATTCTTCTGTAACTCTCGACTAATTTGCTCATGCCCTCAGAAGTTCAAAAGCCACTGCAGCTGCCTGTTGAACAGCTGGGAGACAGGGTGATTGTTACTTAAATGACATCATGACTGCCACAGAAAATCTACAGTGAAAGTATGTTTAAGGAATGATTTTTGGCTGGAAAACATAGCCCCAAGCCTGAGTCTAAAGAAAACAGGGGAAACAGATCTGTCCCCTCACCTCCCATTCATTTGTCTGTCTTCAAGGTGTCCGCCCTATTTCTGCCAAGGCTGAAGTTGTTGTTACAGCTTCCCAGCTGCTACCGCAGCAAATGTTGTTTGTTCAAGCGAAGTGCCTGTACGTTCCTGGACATGACTTCCTTTTCTTCTGGTCAGAGAAGGGATTTAACCAGGGGAAAGTAAACGTTGCCAGCTGCGCTGCCGACTCATTTTGCTAGTCAGTATGTAGCATTTTGCTTCAGGGCAAAGTATCTACTGATCTTATTTTCTGCTAGAGAGGAAGCTTCAGAAGTATTTCTTTGCTTGAAAATTAATATTCACTAGGCAGCATTTGTGGGTTTTGCACAGGACATTTTGGGGGGGGGGTGTCACTGGGATTGGATGCTAAAAGAGAAGTTTCATGCAACGCAGCATACCCTGGGTTTGTGACCACAGACGTGCCAATCACCGTACGGGTAATGGAGGCAACCTCCCAAGGCACACTGCTCCCACGGCTCCAAGCCCCATGGCTCCTGCAATACCCCTTTGTCCTCCAGGTACTGGGATGGAGGTGGACACTGTGCCAACTGCTGAAAACTTTTAAAGTACTCTTACTTTCCGGACGAGCTGTGAAAAGGAGTCCGGTAGCAACACATTCACCTTGCATGACAAAAGCCATATATAGTCCATATATACATGAGACCACCCGACACACCAGCCAGCTTCCTGCAACTGGGTTTTTGCAAACAACGTGTAGTCATAACACTCTCAGAAAAACCTACAGAATTGGCTTACGTATCCCCACTGGGGTTCAATCGCATGATAAAACCTTACAGTAACGAGCCTGTCGCTCTTTAGGGTGGAGGGGGTGGAGGAGGAAAGAGATGCTTCTTTATCTGCATTACTCCACATCACAGATGCTGACAGAATTATTGATTTAGAACTCAGAGCTCCAAAAAGACTCAGTAATGTAATCTTTTTAAGTTTTTTTTTTTCTTTTTTTCTTCCCTCAGGTGTGATGTTTTCAATAGGCTCCTTAGACATGGGCTCTTTGGGGACGTTGTTAAAGTTGCTGCTGCTAAACCGCAGTCCCAACCTTTGGTTTGTTCCATACAACTCTCATGGTCTACTGTTTCTTGGAAGAGCCCATAGCTGCGAGGCCTATTGCTTTACAGGTACTCCAGGAAGACTGAGGGATTAAGTTATACATTACGTAAAACTACCCACTAATCTTCTTAGTGTGCATTACCAGTGAATGGCCTGAAACGGGCTCTCACTAAAAGAGCCCTAACATTCACTTTCTTGATGACAGTTTAGTATTCGAGGTTTGTGTCATGGATTCTGGTGCTGAAATATTCAGTACACCGTCTTCTGTCTGCTGCTAGGTCCACTCCCACGTGTTAGTAGAGTGCTTACAAAATTACAGTTGGTAAAGCAGATTACGTGTTTAACTAGTAGCAAGACATGTGTAAAATAGAATTATATATTTTCCAGAGTGACCGAGTCACTGGGATTTTTTTGTTCTTTTTTTGTTTTTATAAGAAAAAAACAGCTATAAAACTATGATTAAAAATGTTACAAGGGACGATTTACATTTTAAAATGATATTTTTAGAAAAAAAAAGTGATTTATAACATAAAAGTGTTTGGAAAGCATTTGGTTGCTGTGTACTGCCTTCTCTCCCAGTACAGTTTGCTATCTGTTATACAGTCTTGCATAAATGTTTAGATTAGGGAAGAAAAGAAAAATTAAATGTGATGGCTAAGACCTATAAGAGCTGACTCACTGGCTTGAGTTATTGCTGTGCAGAAAGTTTGTAAAGCCTTTACATCCAGAGAACATTTAGTGCTACTTCAGCCTTGACAGTTGACCTTTCAATCTGATTGGGTTTAGCCACAATAATTGCAGCATCTGCAGCACAGGCGATGCAGACGGCTGCTTAGGAACCCAACTTCTCTCATTAGATCTTACTTCATGCGTCTCAAATTCAACCTCTCTTTGCATGTGTGTGCAAATTCGCCTGTAATACCTGTTACAGGAGATGAGCAAGGTACAATCCCCCAGCTCTTTTAAAAAATTTATTTTTAATTTCTCTCATCATGTTGAATATTCCTGAATTTAGATTAGAGAGGGGAGGAAAAAACCTCCAAACCCCTTCCTCTCCCCAGGTATTTAGTCAGTACTCATTCCTTTCTTTTTTTTTTTTCCCCTCAGTAAGACCTAGTGTAAAAAAGCAACAAACAAACAAGTTAGACTGTTGTAATTTGGTCAACCACTCGGGTGCTATCCATATCCACCATTTCAACACACTCTATTTCCTCACGGTTTTCAGGATTCTTCTTCTCTTTCCTCTTCTTCTTGGACGGTGGCAGGAAAGTCAGTATCACAGGTAAAATGGCAAAGCAGTGAAAGAAGGTGACTAATGCTATTAAAAACAAGCACCTGAACAGTGTACGGGTCAGATTTGAAGGCACAGCTGCAAGAGGAATCAGACCAACGATATAGCAGAGGTAGCTCTGCAAAATAGCTACCCCATGTACTTCCAGGGCATTTTTTACCCATTTAGTTCTTGTGAACTCTTTGCCCAGGACAAAGGTTGATAACAGTGGAGCACAGTTGTCAATTGTATAATTAATTCCGTAAATTAAGCACAACACAGAAATACAATCTAGTTCCACTTTCCACAAGGTCATAAAACCTATAACTCCAAACTCAACTGAGGCAACAGTTAGAGTGAGCCAGACATTGATCAGAGAGTCTGCCACCAGGAATGCAGAGAAGAAGAGCAGAAATAAAGCACTAATGCAGGAGTTTTGTAAGGGGGCTCCCACCGAAGAGGCGTAACGATCCATATACACAAACGATGGATTGAAAACAATGAATTTCACCTTGGAGGTGAGAGAGAGCTTCCGCAGGGTCTCCAGGAGGTCATAAAGTTCTTCCCTCTTGGTCTCCATTGTCTTGGCCACCAAGAACATCCTGGAGGCCACGACATCGACTTCGTTGTTGTATTTCTTGGAAAAGATGATATCCTCTGAAAAATGGGCAAACTGAGGGGCCTTCAGGAAGGAGTTCCTCAACATATCAGTGAAGTTTTTCTTGGGCAATCCAGTAGATATGTTGAGTTTCCTCAGGTAATTTAAGTAGCTTTCAAACCAAGATATCCTCACAAAGCCCTTGGTATACTCCAGCACGTCCTCCTGGACACTGGTGTTCCAGTACTCGATCGACTCGTAGATGTAGAACCCAATCACCGGGCTATAGTTACTGAAATACTTCTGCTGGGCAGTCGTATACTCAATGGTCCGTGTCGCGGTCGCTACGATGTTGCTCAGGTCTGACCCTTCACTGACCTGCAGGTAGCCCATTAAGGCAAAGGAAATATAAACAAGGTAAAAGAGAACTACAAAAGGCTTCACGTAAGTGTTTGTTATCCAGTCACAATAATAGCGTTTAAGGAACCACACCAAAAGATGACTCTCGTAAGTGTTCGTTTCCTCTGAATCTGCCGTGTCCTCGCTGAATTTGGCTGTCAGAAGAAACCTATACCATGCAGGCTTCTCTTGCAATACCTCTGGCTTTGGTACCTTTCTGCAGAAGATACTATGCTGGTAGTTGTTTTCGATGTAGCCAGTAAACACCAGGCTGGAACCATAAAAGGAGAGTACATAGAGGTAGTTGAAGAAAATTGCAATACAGGAATTGCAGCAGAAAATCCTGGCTGCTTCAATGTTAGTGAAGGGGCTGGCACCTATTCCAAAAGTGACCAGGTACATGGCAGTGGTGAGAGAAAACGAGAGCATGGAGTCTGCAAATACGGCTGCAGTCCTCTCTTTAACGTGTTGGTCTTCTCTAGTTTTTCTCCAGGAGGACAACATTTCAAAAGTCCCATACAACCCATGACCTACAACAGAGAACAAAGCAAGTGTTTAAAGTACTTGAATCAACACGTGGAAAAATGTAACGTGGACATGCTAAAAGGCTCAAAGGAGACAACAGCTTGTCCTTATCGATGCTTGAAGTAAACGTCCTGCAGAAGAGAGAAATTATTACGGCGGTCTAAGCCGCAGGAGCACATTTGCTACCTGACTAGCAAACCTTACTGCCAGAGCTTGAGGAGAGTTCTGCATCGCTGGCACAAGGCTGACGGGTTAAAGACAAAGGATTTCTTTCTGGTTGGCTGTTTCGTTTCATTATTTCGGAGTGCCTATGATGGAAGATGCTTTGAAATTAGTTTTTCCTGGTGATGGGATCTGACCTGTGGTGAAAACAAAGAAATATGACCTTGAAGTGCCTATGCTGGAAGCAGAGCATTGGTTGGCTGCTTTGTAGAACATCTGTAAAAAAATGAAACCTTCATATAAGGCGAACATTGTCAAGTAAATCAGTCATCGATTTCTCCGCTTCCTATACAAATTTTCCATCAGGAAAAAGAAATCCTAGAAATGAAACAAACGAAAAAAAGCATAAATAAATTTTAGAGAGGTGGAATAGTAGAACTGATATGGAACTACTTAAGGCATTGGCCTTCTTACTTTGACATGTTTAAGGGCTTGTAAAACCAAATACAGCTCTATTTTTCTTGGCACTTCCTACATTTTGTATGTATTTAATTAACTCTTAAAGTGGATATAGCATTCATGAAAGGAGATAAAGACCCGCAGACCTAAAATCCTGTGTTTAAGCCCCAAGTTCAGGTAAATCAGGAAAAGTGCATGGTTTTATCTTAATCCCTGGTTGGCCATCGTCCTCTTAACGATTTTGTTTTTGTGACTGATAACCAAGGCGCATTTGGAGGACACAGACCTCTGCTCTCTCATAGTGGACCTGAGCTGGGAACGCAGCCATCAACCACCTGTCTGATGAGAGCGGCTGAGATAAAAGTAGGTTGATGTTTTACACAGAGACGAACGTAAAAACAGAGTCTTTGTATCACACCTAAAATATAAGACTTTAATATTTTCTCATATTAATTCGTATTATGTTCATCTTTACTTAATAGACCCTTTCCATCTAATCCCACCCTCTTTGCTGCCTTTTGATTACTTCTCCTCCTTATTCTTTTGCTGTTTATGCTGTCACTCTGTCTACCTCTCTGGTATGCTCTTGCATTATCTCTAGAAATTCCCCAAAGCCAGTCCACCGTGTTTTGCTCTTACCCTTTCCCTCATAATGTTAGATAAAATGATCAGTGCTGAATTAGCTGCCGATGACACTGAAGTGCAATCACTGGATATTTGAAGCCGATGCTCCAGTCAGGCAGGTCAAGGTAATTCAGAGATCTTTGTTAGGATTTCAGGCTGGCTGCAGAGTAGCAAAACTGCTGTATCAGCTCTCTTGTATCCACTGGTAGATAACTGTAACTTTTGCCACAAGGGCTATGAATATCCGTCAAGAAACCCCCAAACAAACAAGGTATTCTGAAGAACCAGAAAACCAGAAAATATATTAGGGGGGTGGAACTAGATGATCTTCAAGGTCCTTTTTAACCCAAACCATTCTATGATTCTATGATCTTGTTTATTCTTAAATGCCTCATGTAGGCTAAATACTTAATTAACTCGACAAAATAGCCCTTTTGTGATCAGTACCTTTGACTGTAGGGGCAGCTGTAGTTGATTCACTCCATGCTTCCTGCACGGAATATCTTATCTACGTTTTAATGGATGGCAGAGCTGATCACTCTGTTAATGCTGAAAAGAATAGGTATTTTATAAAGAATTTGTTTTATTTATTTTATAAATGGGGTATTTTATAAAGAATTTAAAATACAGACCTCATGAGATAACAGGACAGCTGGTGTACCTCCTTATCACTGTCACCTAGTATTTACAGTAACAAAGTCCATGCTCTCAAGTGTATCAGATATCTTACCTACATTGTTATTTGGAGCCACGGCATGCACCATGACTGTCCGATTCGTAGCAGTATGATGCTTCTGATTTTGGTGTGGCGTTTGGTATTCATCTTAATTTCCCCAAACAATGTTTTACAGCTGCTTTCAGAGGCCAGGTCAAGACTGTCAATTTGATAACTAGCACTGTGCCCCCTCTTAAAGCTAATGGGGAATACTGGAACTCCCCAGACGTAAAATCAAGCAAAAAGCACAATCAGTGACTGGCACCCTGTTGCTAATTATGCTTCAAATAGTTACGTTCTAAGCTCAGTAGGGAAAGCTATTAAGCTTGCTTTCAGAGTGTTCTTTGTAAAGACAGACTGACCTTTATTTAAATGTAACTGATCACTTGCCAAAAGGGAGTGAGAGGTTTAATCCATTTATGGCTCCCATAAGTCCTGCAGACAGGCTCGTCTGCAAATTTCACATGGCATCATATGCATTAGCTTTGAGTGAGCAAAACAGTATAAAATGAGGTCATTGAATATTACAAATTACTTCCATCGTGAGCTTTAGCTACAGTAAGTTTTTGTAAAAAAACATTTCAGCATTAATAAGATCTTGCCTAAAAATACTCAAACAGCTGCATTGATTTGGAAAGCCTTTGACTTTGCAATGAATAAAAGGATTTAGAGCTAATTAAATATGATGCTGAGCATGACTTCTTAACAGGTATAAGTTTTCAGATAATGTCCGGTAACCTGACTCCTGATACCACATTTTTTCTTTAAGTGGGAAAAATAAAAACACAATTTGCTCTTACTCAATCTTTGAGACTACCCTAAAATGGATTCTGATTTAGAGAACTGCTCAGGTAAATGTATGGAGAAGCGTCACTGCATGTGCTCCACAAAGCCAACAGGAAAACATTTAGTTTTCTATTTTAGGATAGGTTCCTTTTGTTATTTGCTACACAACTCTGTGCCAGGAATTGGTATTTTCCTTCAATTGAATGATTCACGATTCCTCTGTCCATTTGTTTAATAGCTACAAAATCCTCATCTACCTTTAGGAAGACAAGCCTAAATGACAAACTTGCACACTTTTCGCATCAGTGGCACTACTGACCTGATCCAGTATCCTCTGAGAAAATGATTAAGCCCAAGCTCATGCACAAATTAGGCATGGCAGTCCAAAGATTAGCCTTATTTAGCCAGAATGTGATTTACCTAACCTAATTTACTCCTCTAAATACTAACTACAAGCACAAGTTGGGTGACAATCTCCAATACTGTCCAACTCGCTGACATTTGTGTAAGTCTAACCCATAGAGATTCGGGCAGATAGCTCCATGGAAGCACTTTGTGAGAATTTCTTTCACTATTCTGTCATTTCAGATTTTCCATTTTTCCATCCATAACTGATTTGCACTGCTTACCTCTAGTTCTCTTGCTGGTGCTATGTCTTCCCTATATAATATTAATGAGAAGGCAAACTTTTCCTTGCAAATAAACCCTGTAATTGCTTTAACTGATTTTCCTTTTTTACTAGAGATTTAGCCACAAATCTGCAATGATTTAGAGCAATTTGTTCATTACTCACAGACGCTGAGTCAATAATAAATATGAACTCAAGCAGCTAATGGGCTACTGGAGATCTTTTCCTGTTGACATTTGCTATTACGACTCACTGGTTGTGCCCTACAGTCAAGCTGTACAATCATGAACTAAGGAGCGCATGGAAAGACAGGATTTTTTTAAGGAAAAGAGGTTCTGAATGGGCAAAGGGAAATGCTAGAGGAACAGGTGAAAGCTGTTGGAGAAAACGGGGATCAAAATATTTTTTTCCTTATTCTCTTTTTCTATTACTTTGCATTGCAGGAGATACTCTGACCACACGGCTTGGATGACTGAGAACCAAAATTCTGGTATTTGCCACCTAAGAAGATGAAGAAGATGGTCACTGTTACCTACTGTTTCTGAGGAGCTTAAATTTTTTAGGGGCTTAGGCGGGCTATCTTTAATTTTAGAAGCTAATAACAATACCAGCAGTAAAACCAATAAATTATGCCTAGCTTAAATACAGTGCTTTTATAAGTAGCCTAAAAATGCTATAAAAAGTTTCATTACCCTCCTTCAGGATCGAGTCTTGCGATTACACACGTTCTGCAAAACCAACGTAGAGCATGCACGAGAGAAAAAAAGCACTTGTCGGAAGTTGTGAAAACTAAGGCAAAATTTTCTGTTGCTTCCTATTATCGAATTATTTACCTCATTTAAAATGTTACTTATGTGCAGGCACTGCAACTGTTCTTTTTAGTACCATTTTAAAATCTCAAAAAGGAAACGCGTCCTTTTCCCCGCTAAGTGGGTGTTCAAGCAAGAGGCCCTTACGAATGGACTTCGGCAGCCTGGGCTTAAACTTGGCTCTGCTCCTGCCTGGCAAATGGCGAGGCCGAAGCAGAGAGGGGTGAAGGGATCTAAACCAGCCCCAGAGCCTGTGGGAGGGCAGCCAAGTGACCTCCCAGGCACTGGAGTCACAGACCAGCTCTCATTTGCTTGGCTTAATTGCTTCCCTAAAACAAAGGCTGCTGCCCACTTTTATTGCTTAAAGATTAAGGGATCCGTTCAATTTTGCACTAGAATCATGCAAGGCTTTGATCTTTCCGGGATACGATGAGGTTTAGATACTTAAACGACTTCTTCAGTACGAGAAAGTTAGAGGAATGACTGAGAACAAGGTTTCAGTTCCTCTTCTTGCCGTTTTACACATCTATGAAAGCAGAGAAGAACAGCACACTGTGGTGCTCGGTTTTTTTTGTTCTTACTGTTTTGAAGCTTGTGTGCGCTTCGTATGTTTGATATTTGAGCACAATCTCTCCGAATGAAGTCTCACTTACAGGTTGCGAAGTTCCAGCCTCTGTGTGGAAGGTCACGTTTCAGGGGTAATCAATTTTATTCATCTCATTTTAATGCAGTGGCACACGAAACGCTAATAATGATTGATCTCCACCTTAGCGAGGCTGAATGCTGCAACAGTACGTATGTTGCCCATTAACTGCCAGAATT